AGTTTTAACTGGACTTAGCTGAATATTTTTCCCAAAATTCTTGGCGAGCGGGGGGAGGTCACCAAAAAAAATTTTCAGGAGATATCAAAGAAATATTCCGTAATTTCCACCAAATTCGAAAAATTTTTCACAGAATATTGAAATTTAAAAAGTTCCCCAATTTCGACCAATTTCGCATTGATTTTTGCCCGACCGTTAAAATTTGGGGGGACACGTGCTAGTTTTCCAGTAGACCCAGTTGGGAAAGCCCTCAATTGGGAAGAGTCCGTCAAACGGACAGCATATGGGCTAGCTAACACCCTGCTATGACCCCCAAGATGAACCCCAATGGCTTCTAAATAGAGAATGGGTGAAAAGTTCATGAATATTGAGCTTTATATGTGAATCAGGTTAAATACAATAATTAACCTAGCTTTATATAAAATGTACATACATGTTCTAATAATTGTATTTTGCTTCATACAATGCATATGCGTGTGGAAACATTACATTATTATTCAGCTCACTCCCCACATTGGGGCTTTTCAGTGATCGATTACATCAAGTACTATGATTACGTATGTTAGCCTAGACTATTTATCTTTACAACAATGAGGATATGATATTACTTTCCTAACTGTGTTTATCCTAACCCACCCTGCCAATTTTCCCCTGTGGGAGGAAACCGGAGCAAAATATAGAATTCAATTCCTTTGAAAACACCTAAATTGCAATCCCTAAAATTTAAAATTTTTTCTTAAATCGCCTAAAATCGCACTAAATCGCAGTGCTTGAAAGTCCCAGTTTTTCCTTAAATCGCCTAAAATCGCCCAAAATCGCATTATATCGCAGCGATTTAAGGCGATTTACCGCCCCAGAGTAGGCCTTGAACCGAAGATATGAACCTCCAAACTACTATTGCAGATCTGATATAGTTTTCACAGGGCCGGTCGAAAAGGATACTTAAGGAGTAAAATTTACACCAAAAATGGAGTAAATAAACTCCAATAAAGGAGTCGTTCTGTACCTTTTTTATTTACTCCACTTTTGGAGTCAATTCGACTCCTTTGGAGACAAAATGACTTCTATATATCGGAGTAAAGAAAAGTCTTTAACTAACTTTAGAAGGACAGACATTTTTCAAAAGACATTTTTCAAGTCAAAATAATTTATTATCCCTACAAGTAAGGTATATTATAGCAGGAAATACAATTTGCTGTAGCATAATATAATGATATAGTCTTACACCCTGTAATATTTCATGAAGTTCTAAAATAAAATTTTGATTAGAATGATATCATGAATACATGTGGAATACAATTACAAGCCTGTCAGCATGAATTGAACCTGCAGCCCTGCAATTCTACCGCAGCCCTCTGACCTAAAGAGCCCTTTTGCCAAGAGGTAACCACAAATTGCTGTATATATACCATGGTGGTGTCATTGGTAGTATATTAAATAAACTGCTCAGGATGACACTAGTATTATATACATGAACTCTTGGTTACAGTAGAACTTGATTGACTCTCAGGGCGATGGACCCTTAGGGCTTGAGGACCCTTGACGGTTAAAAAGCTGATCAGAATCACAGGGCAGCAGGTTCCATTCCCAGCACAGTACCAGCTATTACATAGTTATCGTTCAAAAAATTTACATTTACAGAAAAGCTTTAACCCATTAAGTGGCAGCACTCTCTCCTTAATGAGCAAAAATTGTTTGACCACATTAGACAGAAAAAATAAAAAAGTAAAGCACATTGCCACTTAAAGAGTTAATATTCTGTTCAATGTAGAATATTTACATGTAAAATATACTGCATGTATTAAATGTATGTCAATCAAACATGTCAAGCAAGTCCATTAGTAAAAATTTAGCACAAAACAAGCTGTATACCACAAGTCGGCAACTCCATTCCTTGCATGGTTTGGTAATTCACAAAATGCTCTCCATGAGAAAAAGAATAACATTTTCCAAATATACCATGAAGTTCGTAGAATGCCATTATAATGATTACATTTAATACCACTTTTTTAAACAACTTGCCTTCTCCTGGGAAGCTTTTGTTAAATCCATATATTAATGACAATACCTAGTAAAGAAAAATATATAAGATTGATATATAGCAGCAAATTATTGATTGATGTTTGTGATGTTACTCTGAGTGTGCATCAACACCGGGCAAGCTGAAAAGTTAGTTTGGCCACGGTGGGAATCGAACCTGCGGCCTTTGGGATACTAGTCCAATGCTCTGTCAACTGAGCTACATGGTCAAGTCTGTTCGAGTTGATGATATTTCGCAACTGAGTCTAGTTCCTTCGATATCAGTGTACAGGGGTATTCAAGGATATACGATTATTTTGTGTGTGTTGGTGTCATGTATTCACCTGAGTGCATGACACCAACACACACAAAATAAAAATTATTGATTGATTGACAATACATTTGCTATTTTGGGTTGTTTGCATATACAAAGCAAGAAATACAAAATTCAAATGCTTTTACTCATTATACCAGGTCAAGCCTGGACGCATTATCGTCTCCGACTGTTGGAAGGGTTACATTAACCTGAATAAATATGGCTATGTTCACACAAATAGGATCGAGCGTCATTGGAGGCAATTAAAATCTAGTTTGCCAACTCATGGTCGCAGAAAACATCATTACCCTTCATATTTCGCAGAATTCATGTGGAGATACGTCCACAAAGATGAAGACTTATTTACAGTTTTCTTAGAAGACATTAAACATACGTACAACTTTCAGACTCACAAATGAGTATTAACTAAAATATTAACATTAAAGCCTCTTACAGACGAGCAAGTTTTCTATGACAAGTTTTTGTGTGACAACTTTTATTTGCTCGTCTGTACGCGCAGCTTTGACAATTTTTTCTATGACAAGTGCACTTGCTCAAAAGCTAGCATGCTGGCTTTTGAAAAAGTGCACTTGTCATACAAAAACTTGTCATACGAAAATTTTGCTCGTCTGTATGGGTCAACAAAGAAAACTTGTCAAAGTAATCTGAGCATTTGATGCATATGCGATTGGCCTGCGGATTGTCAAAGTAAACTTGTTGACACGTTCACACCAGTAAAGTAAAACTTGTCATACGAAAACTTGTGATATAAAATTTGTTGCATATACACACGTGCACTTGGCAAATAAAACTTGTCATATGAAAACTTGTCATAGAAAACTTGCTCGTCTGTAACCGGCTTAAATTGTATGAAATACAGTCAACTCGTTCTTCGAAATTATTTTGCACCTATAAAACATTGTTAATAAATCTCTTTCGCACATACATGAATATTTTCGGATGTGAAAACCTTTTTACTCGGGACCCAACTGATAAATAAATATCTCGCTTAGTCTACGCTTGTAGGCTGTCAACATGTCCATTTTTAGAGGCAGGGTATTCTGAAGTTGTATCTCGCGCAGTGTAGGCTTGTAGGCTGTCAACATGATCATTTTTAGTGGCGGGGTATTCTGTAGTTGTACCTATGACACAAATAAAACCCCGTTTACACGAGCAAATTTTATTTGACAAATTTCATATGTCAGAGATATTTTGCTCGTGTAGATGATAAATTTGTGACAAATTTATTGTGACAAATGCATTAATTTTGAACAACAAATGCTTTTGATGAAATGAAATTTGTCAAATAAAATTTGCTCGAGTAAACGCGGCTAACTACACATTTAAGTAGAGACTGTAGATTAGACTTATGGAGTTCTGCTAATACAAATTAATAGAATATTAAAACTGAACGTCTAGATCGGCAAATCGGCGGCGAAGCGACTAAAATACAGGCCTTCGTCTTCGATTTAAAAATATAACTATACAGTATATCAAGTAACTTTCCGCACTCAAATAAGTAAATACACAATAAACATACCCTTGTATCTTATTAGGTCTTTGGACCTTTATATGTAGAAAATTTGAATAAATATCTTTCCCCGTTGAAAGTTTGCTCCCAAAGGATTGAACTTGGCGCTTGGTCTTTGTGTGAACCAATCTCGTTCCCCGAGCATGCCCATTCGAGGTTAAGGGTGGGCATAGCTCTGGAGAAATCGATTTGATTCAGGCCTGTGATTGGCTAACGGCAGATAGTACGTTAGATTTCCAACGTGAGTTCTATATAAACAAAGTATTTGGAATTTCTCGTCGAAAATTTGATACTTTTTACATCGAAATCGATTGAAAACAACTAGAAATTGTGGAGGAAATATGTGCGAAAGCTGCGGATTGATAGAGATACAACTACCTGAAAAATACAAGGAGAATTCGACGTTTCGAGTAGTTTTAACTCTATTTTGGGAGTAGATTTTACTCCACTATTTTTACTCTCCCGAGTTGAGTAGTTTTAACTCCTATGGTGGAGTCAAAATAACTCCTTGAAATTAACAGTGAAGGTATTCATGACGTATTTAATTAATGAAATAAGGTACTTGATGTAATTATGAACATAAGTAGGTCATGAACAATGCGCATAAACAAAATACATGGCAAGGACATGTATAATTTCGGACAATCCTGGACAAAACATCTGCGACAATTCCAATTACTTGACAAAATATCGTAATATTATCGTAAATTTAGAAAACCTCCCCCTTTCCCCTACCATTCAATGTTGATTGGATTCGTTGAATTACGATAAAACGTCCAACATTGTTTTTGGGGGGCGGAGGGGGGCAAACGAGTAAATTATTCCGGTCTAACTGGCAAAAAAACCCACAAAGGAATGTTTTAATAGAGTGTCGCAGGCGGTTTTGTGCAGGATTGTACCACCATATGATGACTCACGAACTTATCCCTCTACTCAATCTGCATATAGAAAGGGTCATAGTACAGGAACAGCGCTTCCGAGAGTGCAGATATAATAGAATTCTCTCTTATAATAATAGTTTTATTGATCCATCTTTAGTGTAAAAATACAATGGATTTACAGTAAAAATCTAAGTAGTAGTCTAGTAGTTATATGTACTGATAAAAATTGTAGGAATAGTTATAAAAATATTGTCTATAATAATGAGTTTGTTATGGGAATGAACGATAGTTCATGCCTTTTAGTGTATGAGAAAATTCCGGGAAGAGTTTTTGGTGTTCTTAGGTCATACTTGTTCGTCACCATGTCTGGTATGTACTTCCTGCATGGATGTGTTTCGTCATTAGTGATTTTCTCGTACTCGCGAATTGAAAGTTTATCCCGACGTTGTTCTAGAGATTGAAGAGAATCAGAAGGTGGACCCAAAATTTTCAGGCTTCTATTCTGGATACTCTCCAGTTCGTCAGTAAGGTATTGTGGCAGCCCACCCCAAATTGGGGCAGCATATTCCAAAACCGGTCTTAATTTGGATTCATAGCACGTCAAACCCACATTAGTTGGTAGATCTGCTCGACGACACTTTCGTAGGTAGAATAAGCGTTTGTTTGCCCTCCTTGCAATTTCGTCAATGTGGGTGTTCCATTTAAGGGTATTGTCAATCCAAAGACCTAGCAACTTGAATGACTTTACTCTTTCAATTGTATCATCGCCAATTTTAAGATGTGGTGGTTCCGGAATTGCAGCTTTAAAGCAGATCCACATGTCTTTCGTCTTTTTCGCGTTAAGTTTCATCTTGTTTCTATGTGCCCAGTCGTTTATTGCATCGAGCACCGTTTGCATGTTGCTAGTAGAACCGTATGGAATCACTTCATCTTGAGTGCAGTCATCTGCGTATTTGTGCGTATTGATGTCCAGATAATTGGGAATGCAGTCTTCGAGGTCATCCACATGAACATTAAACAATGTTGGTGATATAACAGATCCCTGGGGGACTCCGGAAGGGCAAGGCCTTATAGATGACAGAGCACCTTGTAATTTTACTTGCTGACTCCTCCCTTCTAGGAAGCTCCGTGTCCATAGCCAGAAGCTTTTCGACACGTTCATTTTGGCGAGCTTCCTTAATTAAAAGCAATCCGTGGTCCACCAGATCAAATGCTTTGCAAAAGTCAATAAATAGGGCGTGGATACCCATTCTTCCATCACGTGAGTTTTCAGTCTTGTTGAACCAATTTTGGGTCATGCTTGCCAGTGCAGATACAGTTGATCTACCGTGTGTAAATGCATGTTGATTGTCCTTGATCTTAAGGTCCCCTTTGTTTAATTTAAGTTGGATGCTTTCTAAGACTTTAGCCAATTGCGGTAATACTGAGATTTGGCGAAAATCATTATCCATGTCATTAGGAGGGTATATTTTAGGCACTGGGGTGACCAATGCGTGTTTACATAGGGTTGGGTATTTAGCCTGGGAGATGCTAGAGCATATGATGTTATGAATAACAGGGGCAAGTTCTTCATGGTAACGTTTCAGTAACCATGGAGGGATCTCATCTGAGCCAGTGGCCTTCCTGGGATTTAGATGTTTAAGGGTAGCCTTAATTTGTCCGATGGAAGGCAACGGGGGACTGGTATCATTCTTAAGTAGGTGTTCAATTTCCCCAACGTCCGGAATTTCAGTGGGGTTGGCATTCTGCCAAGGTTTGGTGAAGCTTTGTTGCAGGCGTTCCGCTAAGTCTGCTGCATCAGCTGGTGGTTAAGAGTTACAGTCATTAGCGGCAGCAAGTTCAAATATGGTTTTGTATCACTTTGCCGGATTCGTTTCGCGTGTACCCTCTGCTTTTAGTTGATAGTAATTCTTTTTCGCATTTGATACAAGTGAGGTAACTTTGTCACATAATAGTTTGTACCTTGTTATATCTCCAGATTTAAACGCCTTTTGCCTAGCTTTTATTTCATGCTTTATACGCGGTGTCATCCACGGCTTGTCGGAGGGGTGGGCACGTACAGTGCGTTTAGGCAGCAATTTATCAAGCATGCGCACGATAGTACAAGTGAACGCACTTACTTTGTCGTCAACCTCTCTGGCATCGTAGACTGTTTCCCAGTTCTCTCTATTCATATGTATGCCCAGTTCGATTAGGTTACTACATTTCGTCAGGCGCACTTTTCGGGAGACCGGTTTAACCTTTTGTTTCAACTTTGGGGTGAGCAGTAAGCACTGGTGGTCGGAACGGCCGATCGGTGGCAGATGTTGAACATCATTGTATAGCTCTGGCATATTGGTAAGGATTTGGTCTAGAATATTTCTACCTCTTGTAGGAGCCCGTACGGTTTTTTTAAGGTTGAAACGTCTACATAGTGGGTTCAGTCTCATTTTGTTGAAATCTCCGGCGATAATTACGCCAGCTGAAGGGGGGTCCTGCAAAATGTTGTCAAGTCCGTTAGTAACATACTCGTACATTGCTCTTTCATCTTCAATTGTCTGTCCAGGTGGGTAGTACACACCAATAACTATTATCGCACTATAGGGCCTGGGGGTTCTGGGCCGTTTATAGTGTTTTTAAAACGTGTGGACCAACGATTACTAGCATTTTAAGAAAATTCTTAAAGTTAAATACTCTGCTAATATTTATCCCCACATATATTCCTTCTAACAAACTGAGTTTATTTTAACACGTCCCCGATATATATTCAACCAAAGTTGTTGTAATGTTTCTCGGACGTAGATATTATATTAGCAGAGCATTTAACTTTAAGAATTTTCTCAAAATGCTAGTAATCGTTGGTCCACACTTTTTAAAAACACTATAAGCGTGGGGTAATCGATATGAAATGATATCCTGATGACGTTATGGGCGGAGCTCTAGTGCACCGCCTGCACCGCCCACGCCAGAACCCCCCTTCCCTATACTACTTATATATATATATATATATATATATATATATATATATATATGTATATATATATATATGTATATATATATATATATATATATATATATATATATATATATATATATATATATATATATATATATATATATATATATATATATATGACTATTACACTCAAATATATTTTATTAGATAGAGGAAAGGCTAACTTGGATTCAGGGACGCCGGAACGATAATAAGGCAAAGGGGGGCGGACGCACATCAAGGGCACCTCTATAGAGCAAAAGTTCAAAATCTACCGGAAAATTTTTTTTCAATGGAAATTTTTGGGCGACTTCCCCCCCAAACCCCCCGCCCCGTTGCCAAATTTTCGGTCAGTATACCATTTTAGGGGTCAAAAAATTTTTCCGGACATACAAAAATTTTCCGTGAAGTCAAAAATTTTTCCGCATATCTTAACTTTTAGCCATTTCTTCAAAATATTTTTCTAAATTCCAAAATTGTCCAAAATTTTTATAAATATAACCTATAAATTACCTGAATCTCATCATTTTCCTACAAAAAACATCGTTGGAAATGTGATTTATCACGTAATATTTTACAACTAAAAGGGGACTTCTGCCCCCCCCCCTGCCCCCCCTAGCAAAAGGCAAGGGGGGCAGCCGCCCCCCCCCTGCCCCCCCGGTTCCGGCGTCCCTGCTTGGATTTTGATATAATACAGTTGTATATTTATAAAACACTGACCGAGATATTAATGTTCAAATTTGGTAGCATATTTCTGGATGTGTCAAAAATTTGTGAAAAACGGCGTATCAAATATTAACCAAGCGTTGCTGAACTTAAAGACGTATTATTATTAGTAAATTGCATGATGAAACTTGATAAAAAGTTTATTGTGAAACGAAGTATATTATTTACAAAATACAAACAAGATTTATTCGTTCGGAATCGGAATCGAACGGAATCGTTCGGAATCTAACACGAATGCATTGCCTATAGCTCGTCGGAGATCATAGAGCGTCGTGGCATGTCGCTTCATCCAAAAACTTCTTGTACGTTGCGCTAATTGTTTGTTTTGTCGGGGCATGAGTATTACCCCAGCGACCCGGCCATCGTCTTCTAATTTCTGCCGCGTTTTGAAATCTTGAACCTTAGTTAATCCTGGCATACTCAAAATGAAACACAATTATAAACCATAACGTAACAACATAACATAACATAACATAACATAACATAACATAACATAACATAATTAACATAACATAACATAACATAACATGCAACTCCCCAGAGACATGCAACATTCTTGGAACAAAATGTATGAAAAATATAGCGCTGATACAGTAATATATGTATTCGCAAAAAGGCATGTAGAACAGTATTATTTAAACTACCATATTCATCCTATTCAGACTTAGAAACAGTCAACTTTCTTTCGTTCGTTTATCTATTTATCTATCTATCTATCTATCTATCTATCTATCTATCTATATATATATATATATATATATATATATATATATATATATATATATATATATATATATATATATATATATATTTAACAATTATTCGCCGAAGGCGAGGTGATTATCGGTGAATAAAAACTGAGACGAAGTCGAGGTTTTTATTCACGATAATCACCGAGCCTGAGGTGAATAATTGTTTTAGTATAATTTCGTAGGTGATTATTTAGAAAAAAATAAAAAATACAGATTTCTTCGTCATTTAATTGACAAAACGGCTTCGGCCGCCATTTTGAAAATCGCTTAGGTGATTATCGCGTAATAATCACCTCAACGGCAACCAATCAGAGTGGAGAATTTTCAATAATCACCTATGGAATTATACTAAATATATATATATATATATATATATATATATATATATATATATATATATATATATATATATATATATATATATATATATATATATATATATATATATATATATATATACATATATGGATGTCTATTAGCGATAATGCATAGCCTGCGAATAGGCTTACTGGGAGAAAGGTGAGCCTGCACGGAACCATGCGTTTTATTCAATCATCCCCTTTTCGCATCTGCTAAACGCGAACCAATCAGCGTCGACTGCGATAAATAAACTGTCAAATTGACGCAAGGCGTGTACATTGTGCAACGAAGAAATACTGAATATTAAAATGTATACATAATGTATATATTGAACAATAATACAAAGCATTAGCGGGCCGCACAATATATTACTCGGAAAAATATAGAATTCTTCAAATATTAAATAGATATCAATACACATCAAATATAAAGCCGAATAAAATACTACCATTGGCTTTGAATGTACAGTAATACTTGTACTATGTGCGACTGAAAGAACAATGTTCTGAATATTTGAAGCTATTACTAAAATACGGTCAGATAGATTGGGATTTGGAATACCGAATACGTCAAAAATTTTACTAACTGTGGTCTAAGTAAATGATAAATGAGCATGTATTTATTAATTTATTCGAAATCATGAGTGTGCCAATAGTGGAAGCCGTATCGACGACGAAATTGTCAGCAGTTTATACAGTAAATAGTACAACGTTTAATGTACGATATATATTTATCTAAATGACATGCCAGCGAGGATCAACAATATAATTATTCGTACATATTTGGGTATCTTTTGTATGCCTTTGCTTGCTGACTTGCTCACTAATGAGAATAATCCGTGAAGCCACGACGACCTCAAAATGTACTATACTATAGTCTGATGTCAATCCGAAGACGAAGTTCAGAATACTGTTATAGTTTCGTATATTGAATTTAAGCGATAGATTCAAGTCATTTATGATAGACTTTTTGCTGTGATGCTTTGCTATTGCTTTTGGTTTCCATTTCTAGTTTTATTTGTTCGATAGTCTTATAATATATAATATTAAAATGAATAAAGTTCAAATTCTTCAAAATGCTGTTGTTGACATTTGCTATTTTTAGTAATTTTGTCAACAAGTGTAAGCCAATCAGAAGCCTGCGTTTCTATACGAACGCCACTACCAAGAAAACCTATAGTTCCGTGCAGGCCCTCTATCCTTCGCGCCGCCCGTAACCCAGGGCCTGTTCGCAGGCTATATGATGATGCATACATGTATTTAACAGTTAAAAATCTAAACTAAATCTATTCTTCATGGAACCAACATTTTATCGGATTGTTTGCATGAAATCTATCGCTATTATGAAATACTCGGTCAAGAACAATATGAATTACACACAAGATGGCTGTGGAGGAGGATATGGAAGGGCATAATCTCATCAAGTAAATCAACTGCAATTCTGACAGCAATCATGAGTAATTTTGCTTCGCACTTCGGGGGCAGAAATAGCTTTACTGGGGGGGAGGGGCAAATTCTTTCCCTGGGGGGCAGATATATAGTTAAAAAAGGCACTGTGTGTGTTAATTTGATTTATGCGTACTATTTTGTATCCAAATTGCGGGCAAAATGTCGGGCCGTATATGCAGAAACAATAATATATTCGACTCGCGATCCGTATGATTAATAATGTGCATTTAAGAATACAATAATATATTATTGAAAAAAATACTATGAAACTACTATTTGCGTGAGATTTACTAAACGTGGCGTGAGAGTGGGAGTGAGAGTGAAGCGAATTGCGTGAGATTCACGCCCCTGCTCACGCTAGGGATGGGCGATACCAGCTTTTTCATTCGATACGATATTTGCTCGATATTTGCCGGGTTTTTTCGATATCGATACCGATATCGATATTTTCCCAACTTGAAATCATTAACAACGGCCACAACGCTAACAATATAAACATTGAATAATATATGTCAGTGATTGCAACCAACATAACCAGAAACTCCCATCCTTCCCGTGGACCATTATAGCACCATACAAAATGAACTATTTACGCCTATTTAGGCTTTTTGGTATCATTTTCATGATGATGCCGCTGACCAAAATGAAAAATATTGCGGGCGCAGAAATATCGAAACATCGATATCGATACTTTTCTTCAAAACCCTGGTATCGATAGTATCGATAGTATCGAGTATTTGGTATCGATATCGGCCCATCCCTAGCTCACGCCGAATGCGTGAGAGTTTTAGCGTGAGAGTTGAGAGGTCTGCCTGGTATACAGAATTCAAGAATTGAAAAACATGTCTTTGTGGTGACGAATGGGGTCCGAGAAGTAAGTAACGATGCTTATAAAGTTTGAAAATAAGACTGATCAATGGTAAGCTAGATTTGTAAGTTTGTATGACAGCAAATATAGCACGTATATTAAACACTGGCATGGCGCCATATGATTGCATGAAATATCATGAGTAATACAGTGTTACACTGAGGCGTAATATTAACATTAAACAACTAGAATTCCTTTCAAGAAAATACTGCAAATCCGGACACATCATTTCTAAGGAAAGATTCATATAAAGAGTTCTATACATCCTGAATGCACCAATGCGGTGGATAATATATGGCTAAATGTCAAATGACTATAAATTAAATTTCTAGTGAAATATATACAGTATTGTAAGCACCACTGTGAAGTACGCAAGAGATTCAACATGACATTCGTCAACATGACATTCGTGATGGTGTAAATTCACTCATTTCCATCATTCAGAAATCAAAATGATAAATTTGTACAATATATGCAAGTTTTTAATCCTATGAAATAGCAGCAAAGATATTTGTATTTTAATTAACTAACATGGTGATGCAATTCTCGACAGCGTGCGCGATCTTAACTTAGCCTATATAGATATAGTTACGTATTTGCTTATGGCTAATAGGCCTACCGTACAGATTGCAGGCTTGCAGCAGAATTTTGATTGTTTGCAGGCCTGAGCCACTTAAGGTTATAACCATTGGAAAGAGGAGATAAATGTGTACGACATATGAAAGTTTTAAAAAATCATATAGAATAGCAGCTGAGAAATTAATAGTTTAAGATTCTAATTGGCAAAATGTATTTAATATTTATTTGGCAGTGTGGATATAGCAGTTAGGAAAAATCGTTTTGGAGTGCTTTGAGATACGAATTTGTGAATTTGAATTTTATTAATAAAATATAGACTTTGCAACCATGAAGGTTGAAATACATCTATCATTTACAGGGTTGGTTGATTAGAAAAATATTGTATATTTACAAAAACATATTTACTATAATATAGGAAGAGTTTAGAACTTCTAGTATGATATTACCATAATATTTACAAATAAAAATGTATGTAATTTATAGTTACTCAGTGTTTATTATTAATCGTTACAGACGAGGGAATGTACGAATTTTTGAAGCGATTTGTCCGACAATTAATTGGAACGAGTTTATTCGATGTGCGTAGATTGTAGCTTGGATGTTCGGCTGGTTCAACTAGTTCGGAAAGAGGACTAGTTTGCGGAAGAACCTTTTTTCTAAAAAAATTTTGAACATAACAGTTCGCGCCTAGAATACAATGTTGGGATATTGAGATCTGATAAGGATTCTTTGTATGATGACGATGGGTTAATTATTTTCAACGCTCTTGACTGGATCCTTTCTATTTCTTTGGATAGGTATTCAGGTATGTTATAATGCCAAACTTGGGCACAGTACTCCAAGATAGGTCTTACACATGAAAAATACACTGATATCAATGTTTTAGTGTCACAACGAGCTCGCTTGAGGAGTCTAAGCATGTAAAGGCGTTTTGCGGATTTTTTCACTATGTGAGCCACGTGGTCATTCCACTTTAGGTCGTCCTTGAAAATTAAGCCAAGGAGTTTAGCGGATTTCACAACTTCAATGGGCTGTTCGTCAACGATCATTGGGGGGAAATTTGGATTGTTTTTCCAAAAACAAACGAGGATTTCTTTGCATTTACGGGGGTTTAAGGACATGTTATTTCTTGCACACCACTGCGTAATTCCTTCTAAAATAGTTTGAAAGTTCGAATCTTGGTTTCTTGAAAGGGTTTCTGAAACAGACGAATCATCAACATATTTCCATCTATCGTCCCAATCAACCAACAAATCGTTTGTAATTAAAACGGTAAACTATATCAGTTAGCTAAGATGACCTGTATGCTTTAAATTTGTAATTCATTTGGGAGAGAAGAAATGGCTATATTTTTTATTTTGACTTTTGAGTGATTGAAATAGTGAATTTCCTTTTGATTTTAAAAGACATACAGAGAGATTAACCTCCCCCTTTTTATTAAAATGCAAGTGCCTGTTGTTTTGAACGTCGCAAATGCGACCTACGTTCATGGAGTTAATCGGCCTTTTCTCCTCTAATGATTCACAAGCTCACATCAAATTGGCCGCCGATACAAGAGTTTCTTTGACGACCCATCCCAGTTCTAGCCTGCGAACAGGCTCTCAAGCTGAATTCAGAGCCTGCATCGATCACTAATGAATTTGAATATCTGCGTCTCAAATCGTGACGCGAAATTCTCATTGGTCAGATGCTATAATTTATATTATTCCGCTGAGCTCTATATATGTCAACTGCTGAACTATGCATAAAAAACACATTAACTGATCAAATTTGGTCTTGGCCATCTTATCTCAAAGCACGGAATGTTTTGTTTTTAGAAAACAGTATTTAAAACATATAAACTTTTGCTTGAATATCTTATATTTCGAAAAACAGTATAAACTGTACGGTCTAAATTTAGTTTGCACGGTCTAAATTTAGTTTGCACGAAAGTTGTAAACAACACCATATAAGGATAGACATTCCATATTTGGAAAAACGAACGTTACGGGGCAGATATTCAAATTCATTAGTGATCGATGCAGGCTCTCAATTCAGCTTGAGAGCCTGTTCGCAGGCTATCCCAGTTCATTCATCCTCGAGAGGTTTACGGCTTTGCATGTTCATATCTTCGGTTCAGTGCATGCTATGAAGACAGAAATACCACCATTCGATTCAGAAATAAAAGGTTCAACTAATTCCTCACTTATAGTCATTATCAATATTGTAGCGATTTATGGGCCTTTGAAAGTCAAACACGATCATATTGTATCAAATTACGCAATTGTCTGAACAAAAATATAGACTAGCCATACCTTTCGCAGTTTCTTGTATATATGTTTTTAGAATCTAGCTCGTTTAACTCCTGGTAATGCAACGTATTTTTGAGATCAGCGAGATGACCAACCATGTGTAAGTAGCAAAGCAAGATTAGTACCCGCGCTCTGCGCGCATGCTCGGGAAAGCAATCTTTCGCGAAAAGCTCAGTTTAAGGAGAGTTTACGAGTCATGACTTTACTCATGAGTTTACCTGCGATACACGACTTTTTACACACGCTATACTCGACTTTTAACTCAAAAGCCACGATATAAAGGAACATTTATTTTTCTGTATTTACCCTAGAATACTTTAAAGAATCCTTCCTAATGCAACGCAACTGATGCAAGATGTCGAAGTCTGAGAAGATATTTGTTCCTGTACCGCAGGAGTGCATGGGGATTGTTATTGGAACTGGTGGAAGAAATATAAATGAAATTAAGCGAGAGACAGATACGAGGATTACATCTTGTAAAGGAGTCAACTCCGGGGAAGAATCTGGTTTTACAGTCACTGGCACTGTAGTTGGTTGTGAAAAAGCACAACTGGCTATAGGAAATCGTGTAGTAAGTATCAGTATCTTATACAGTTCTATTTTTATTCTCATGTCAGTTCTACGAAAATCGTACATAATGGTAATTAAACTGACTAAATTTTGTCTACAAACACGTAATGACAAAGTCGATTTATAATCTGAAGTTTGATTTTAGTACAAAAATACAGGGCGCGAAATTCAAAACTTCCACTTTATTACATGTAATTTTATTTGTAAAGTTTGCTCACCTCTATTTGTAGAAAGCTTTAATTGTTGTATCATTTAGTATAGAGCTAGAATGCGCAATTATTCAATTAAACATTTCACCGCCTTTGTTGTACATATATGTACCTTTAAATATATAGTAAGCAACAATACATTAGGTTCTTCTGAAACATACAGTAGTACTGTAGTACATAATTAATTAAGAGGAGATTTTTTAAAAACTCGGGTATTGGTCGCTCAAAACAAATCAGATCACAATGACCGATTCAGACCAAATACGCAATTCTAACAACAAGATGGCGGTGGTTTTTGTAGAGGTCTATGTTTTAGTAAGTTTTTCAGTGCCCAAATACCCTAAAATGATTTTTTTGGAGAAAAGCTAAGTAATTCATCTTAAACAAACAGTGGGCCCTTTGTTGGCCTGAATCGATAGAAATCAGAGACTTAAAGCGTGACAATACAGTGTCATCATGCATGTCAACATGAGTACGAACAACGAAACGCGGAAGGTAAATTTGTATTCTTATTCCTATTTGGATAACTATTTCATATAAAACTTATGCATAAAATGCAACAAAACTTTACATTCTATTTTTTTTTAATTCATAGTTTTGTCAAAGTGTGTGGTCAAAACGTCTACATTTACATTGCATGAAACATTACATTCGGGAATCGATCATTTTTTGTACCGTATATTTGCACGAAATCATGATATTTTGCTCCATATGTTGATATAACTGAACAATTCCTTGTTTAAATACTTTGAACATGTCCGGATTGTTCAAAATTCAAAGACTAATTAATTGCACATAGATTGTCCTAAAATGTTTCTGATGTTTTGGGGAAATTTGAATAAATAGGAAAGTTTATAACAATTAATGGTTTAATACCAGGCTGAAAGTTTATTATAAGGACACAAAATCATTCCGAATATGTTCCTGAACAAGCAAAATTGTCTTTTATATTAAGGATGAGGTATGTTAGTTTACAAAAAAATTAACTTGCTTGCAATACATTTGACGTCCGTAAGTACAATCTCTTACGCTGAATCGAACGGCGGTATTTTTATCCTTACTGCGCCATATAAGGCATTACAAATACAAAGACAAACGTACTGCGAGTGATTTGTCAACAATACGCACTGCGAGCGATTTGTCAACAATATAATTTCGCTTGATTTTCAAAGTCCATAAATCGCTAGAAACTGTTGTTTAGTAATACATTTGACATCCGTAAGTACAATTTCTTACGATTCAGCTAAGAATCCTCCATCCATCAAATCCATTACTCTTTAGGCATTACAAATACAAGGACAAACGTACTGCGTGTGATTTGTCTGTCTGTCAGCAAATATACGTACTGAGAGCGATTTGTCAACAATACAATATCGCTTGATTTTCAAAGGCCATAAATCGCAAGAATACTGTTGTTTAGTAATACATTTGACATCCGTAAATACAATTTCTTACGCTGAATCGAACGATTGAATTTTTATCCTTATTGCTGGCATTGGACATTACAATATCATATTTCACGCTACAGACTACACTTCACGTTCCACAGCTAACTATTTCTAGAGACTGTTGTTGTATAGTTTTATATTGACATGAGACCAATATGCTTCTCATAAAGTAGTTATCTATCAAAACTACGTTGTGTTGTTTAAGTTATAACCTTTTACCTTGGAATTGTTTTTGGCTCGTTTATAATCAGATTCAGTATATCATTTATGATCGTTCACGGGAATTCGATGATCCAAATTTCGGATTTTCAGAGTCGTGCATCAAGAAAAATACATTAACTAAACTAGCAAGAATGCCCAGACTTAGACACAATGCAAAATCCATAGAAAACTGGTACAATTCGTTGAAAATGTTAACGGAATTGTTTGAAACATTTTGCCCACTCCACGAAAGGCCGCCATTTTGAAAAGGATAAATTGGGTTTATTAGGCAGCTCATTAATATTCTATTTTGTGGCTATCAATCGGAGAAAAATGTGAGCCGAAACCTATACTCGCCAGGGCACAGGTTCCCCAGCGAGTAAATATGTTTGAAGATAAAAAACCCAGGCAATTTACCATCATTGTTGTTAGAGAATAACAACGATTTATAAAGGAATGGGAGATCTGGATGAAGACTATTTGAATCGTTTTTATTTAGAAAAAGTACATGGAAGACAATGAAGTTAAATCTGTTTCACCAGCGGCATCCTTATCTCCAACACATTCAAAGGTAAATCTATTTATGGTGGGAATACACGTAAATTACCACCTAATTTGTATGTTTTGTTTTTGTTGAAAATGTGTTTTAATTATCTTTGATATATCTTTATATATATTATAGTTATATATTTTAGTCCGTTTGTAAGATTTGTCTTTCATTGCATAAATGGTAAAATAAATGCGAATTTTTTCTTTCATTTTACAACTGAAGGTGAATGATGATGTTATAAAACTCGTCCCTGTGCCGAAAAAATATAGAGGATTTGTTATGGGCAAAGAACGTAAGAACATAGAGATAATTGAAACGAAATCAGGAACAAAAATCAATGTCCCCTTTCGCGGAAATGCTGAAGGTAAGTTAGAATCGTTATACATTGCGGATAAACTTTTTGTTTGCATGTTACTTGCAATATAGTTTAAAGGCACAGTTTAGCCTTTTAAATGATGGTTTTTAAAGCGCATTTAGCTCTTTTAATTGAAAAACTAACTAGGAAAATCAGTTATTAATAAGCATAATTCAAGATTAGCAAACTTAATGTTTTTAAAAATTTGTATTGTTAAGGGCTGAAATGTACCTTAAAAACAATTCAAAAGGCTGAACTGTGCCTTTATAACCAAGTAATCACTAACTACAATTAACCCAAATGGGTATTTATCATTGTATTTATATACTAACCTGATTACAGATTCATATTTTGATTACCGTAAATTACACTTTCTCCATTTATAAAGTTTGTGACATAATGTTCAATAAGTTTTTTTTGTTCTTTTTTTTTAATGTTTTTAAACTATAATTTTAAATGTAAACTAATATTAAAGTTTCTATTTAGGTAATGTTAAAATTATAATACTTTTTGTTTGTGGAAACACCACGTAAACTTCTTACTGCAAGGCTTTCAATTTCTATCGATGCTAATAATATGTGACTTGTTCAATACACACGTCCCTTTTGATATTATTTAATACCAAAAGTGTCCTGATCTGATGGTTCGCGTCATTCGAAAGTTTAATTAATTAACCACGCCATTTGGAAACGTAGTGAAGTGATTCTGCAGATTAAAGAGACCACGCCACCTATACTATCTAGTGGCTTTCCTTCCTGATCTACAGTATTGTGTTTCTCGATTTCAATGGGCCACTTGCCTTATAGCGATTTCCGCTGAACAAGGGCAGATTTCAAAAAATATAGTCGCACGCTCCCGATTACACGGGAAATCAATACAAAAATAATGTCCGACCGGCTTTGCAGAAAATCAGATTTTCTAATAGCGTTATCTTCTAGGTTATGAAATAATACATTGACCAAAACGATTTTCAACAAGAGCGGAAAAGAGTTTTCCAACAGAAACGTAAAGCAGAGAAAATGTAGCAATTTTTAGTTTTATTGCAGTCAAATTAGATTACTCAAATTTGTATAACCTACGTGACATAGGGAAAAATTTCAAACATGGATATTTTCCGTTCTATGTCGAAATTTAAAAATTCCCATGGCAAAGTTTTAGATTTTAATGTGCTATATCATATATTAATCTTTTGGTTTTAAGTTAAAGAAGTTAAAATTGAATGTCACGGAAGTCCAAGAAAACGGCAATATTTTCTAGCTCGCCTTGGTGTATGTAAATTTCTCGTTCCCTGCATTATGATTAACTGAGAGCGAACATGTAAACAAATACGCTGATCGGTCGAGCACGGAATCTGCCCTTGTTTTCCGCTGTGCATGACGGTAGGAGTCGTTTCTTTGCAATCGAACAACATGGCGACTGTATAGTAGCGAGCGATTTTGGTCTGAAGATGAAATGGTGGATTTTTGAAAACTTTTTGCAACCATGCATCGATAACCGCAAGAAAACAACAGCAAGCTATGAACTACATGTACATATATAATTTTAGGGCGTTACGTGTATTAACGGTGAAGAAAATGCATTAGCAGAGGTACGTGAACACGTATCGCAAATTTTATTGCAAAAAATACGCTGGTAAAATACGCTGAAATCTACAAGATTCTTGGAGATTGTCGCATGCGCAGTAACGACAACGTTATGTTGCTGACTACAGTTAGCGCTTACGGTTTTCTTGCTTAAAAATATACATGTTTTGTTGATTGTTTATGTAATTATTCTCAAAGTTTTAACAAATTTTACGAAAAATACTTCAGATATATTAAGCTGCGAACAGACATGTTAGTACAAAACTATTCAACATACATCATCATATTGTATCAATTTGTTGGAGTATGGCGGTCATTTTGTAACATTGTTTTGTTTGCTTCGGCAACCCGATGCTGTTCGGCTTCAAATGCAACTTACTAAACACTGCATGACATATACAGTATTACCTGGGATATGAAATGATATTGATTGATGGTACTGTATGTCAAGGTATACGTACTGTACATTTATACTGAATTTATTTTCACACGAGTTTCAAACTATTTCAGCCTTATATTGAACAGTGAGAACACATCACTATATAATATTTATATACAGTCATTATGAGTCATACAGAAAGACTCCATATTTTCTCATCAATTATGATTATCTTTGCAAGTAACGGTAGAAATGTTTAAAAATTATATTCTGTTTTGTATGTAAAGCAGGGAAGTATGCTCTTATTTTGGTTTGGTAGTAGCTACCACTCACCAAGCCAAATGGGCCATTCTATTTAATACCCCCCCCCCCCCATTGAGGTCTGGACATCCTATGGGGGAAAGGGGGGGTTTACTATAAATTTTTCTTGATGGTAGCTTAAGAGGTTTCCTAAAAATTAGGTGTTTTAGTGATGTCCAAAGGGCCAGGAACAATATCCTGAAGGGGTAGAAATATATCCGTAGGGGTTCCAAAATTGCATCCAATGGGGTTCCAAAGTGTTTAAGGGGTTTATGAAGACACCCCTCAATAGGGTGTGTGTGGGAGGGGAGCTATATCAGATGGAATGGCCCAGTGTGCTGCAACAACTTTTAAACTTTTTATGTATTATGTTTTAAAGCACAATATGTAATGGAGTTTGATATGATGATCAGCATAACCTCAAGGTCTTGACTGAATGAACAACTTATTTGATGTTCTCTTAGTTCCAATACTTTGCAATATATCACCACCAGATCAGATGTCAGTTGGATCACTTTGAATGAACTTTGGATTGGCACAATAAAGTGTCTGTATTAAGGAGGAGTCTACAAGGAGAGCCGAGGCTTTCACTTGACTGAAGTAAAAGGCACATTTTTGGATATTTGAATTACAATAACTACATACTGTAGGTTTCAAATACGTTTGTACAATGAACAACTGAAAATAAAAATTTATTTAATTTGAAACACTTAAAGGAATTACAATATATTATATGATAGTATTACTAGCTGATATTTATGACCATCCTGGGACAACATTTATTTTTCCCAAGAGATTTTACTTGCATGATAGTAGTAAGTTTAATAGTAACAGAGAAGTGTAATGGATATGCCCTAGTAATTATCATTAGAAATATAAATATTAAACTGTAATTTTGACCATTGTAAATGTATTATTAAAGAAACAAAACACAAAGTCAAACAAGGCTATTTAACATCAAACAGTCATAGTACCAGACTGGTTAAATAACTACTGAATAGAGGGATCATGAAAATCTTCTAAGAGAACTAGATCATAGCTCTGTAACAAGGAAAGGTGTATTGAGTTTCTTCACCTTGATAAACAAAATCAGCTAGGATTAGAAAACTAGAATGCCATCAACTAATTCCCATTTAAAAATTTTCATGTTGGTCACTGAGAAATATAATCTGGAGGCCATCTTAATGATTGTTTACTATCTGATTGATGACATGAATATGGATGGATATTTTCATGGAATTCAAGTTCGTTTTTTTCCCAAGTCCATGTAAAATATGGTTCACTTGTTAAAATAATAAAATATTTATTAGTTGTTTTGTAGCAGAAGAGTACCTGCTTTAACTAAAATATAGGAAAGAGAAAATTGAAATAACAGTCGCACTGTATATGGAAAACAGAATAAAATATTTGTAAGCATTTCTACTGTTATCATAGTTTATTAATTTTATTAACTGATGCGATAATATGAAGTCTTTCTGTAAGTTAATAGTGATGTGTTCATGAAGGCTGAAATAGTCTGAGACTCTGAGAAAATGTAAAAGCAACGTGTGAAAATAAATCGAATAAATTCGGTATAAATGTACAGTACGTACATGTACCTTGAAATACAGTACAATCAATCAATATAATTTTGTATTCCAGGCAACACTATCAGTGTTTATTAAGTCGCATTTGAAGCCGAGCAGCATCTGATATATGCAGTACTGCTCAGAAATAACCTAACAGGAAACGCGTTCGGAACGCGTTCCTAAATGCGTTCCATTTGCGTTCCATTCGCGTTCCATTCGCGTTCCAATTGCGTTCCAATTGCGTTCCACTGTTACCAGAACACATCTGCGGAACGCGTTCCTGTTACACTCGTATCGAAACGGGCATCGTCGGAAATCATCGCTCATACGAGCAATTTCAGGTAGATTTTAGGTAGAATTCAGGTAAATTCAGGTAGATTTGCAGAAGAAATTCGGGTGAATTAACGCAACCTCTCCTAGGACAACAGAAAGTCAAATTACAAAAATAAATATGAATTTGGAAAAAAATGAGGTATTTTTACAAAAATTTAGAATATTTTTAGAAATTTTCGGAATTTTAGAAAAAAAATTTTGATAAACGGAGAAAATGTGTGATGTCCGGAAAATTTTTTTTACGTCGCGAAAAATTTTGATATGCCCAGAAAAATTTTTTACCCCTAAAATGGTACACTGACCAAAAATTTTTTTGTTCGGGGGAGGGCGGGAGAGTGGGCGGCGGGGGAGGGCGCCAAAAATATTTTTTTTCCAAAAAACCCCATTTTCAGGTAAAATTTGAAATTTTGATACCTTCAGGTAGATTTAACCAAACACCCCCTGAAGCGAGTTCCTTGCGACTGCGCTGAATATCACAGTCACTAGTGTTTTGACTAATTGTAAATGTTCATAATCATGTGTAATGACTTTTGTAAAAAAATTACACAAGCGGCGACAATTAGAAATAAACTGTAGCAAGTATGCTACATGATATGCTTGCTTCAGCACGTTTGATAGCGATTTATTTGTCCCGTGATCATGAGCAGTTTGAGCCGGCTGAGTTTTAGTCGGGATTATTTTCATCCCATGCTGTTAAACTGCTGAAATGTAGCCTGTGCACAACACAGACATTTGTAACTCGGGTTGAAAGACACGATCTGCAGAAGCAATTTCGGCTATTTGATTAGTCTGTTTATGGTTACATATACAGTTGAAACAAACGCGCTAAACAAAGCCGTTAAGACGATTTTTTAACTAAATTATTTGTGATTACATGCTGCCCGGACTGCGTCGAGTTTCAGTCTGAGTCAAACCGGGCTGGTATTTTAGCCCGGGATGAAGCTTGATATTAATTGTTCATAGTTGTCAACTGTCAAAACCTACAGTAGCTCATGTTTCATTCGGTGTCGGGATTTTCCGATGCGAGAACGCGGTTTTTAGCCAAAGTGGGGAACGCATTTCCAAGTTTCCTCTGGAACGCGTTCCAACCGCGTTCCGACCGCGTTCCAACCGCGTTCCGCGTTACAGTGTTAGGTTATAAAACTATGTTACAAATATGAGCGCCATACTGCGACAAATTGATACAATATTATGATGTATGTTGAATAGTTTTGTACTTACATGTGTGTCCACAGCTTATATCTGAAGTATTTTTTGTGAAATTTGTTAAAACAAATACATAAACAATAAAAAAACATGTATATTTTTAAGCAAGAAAATCATAGGCGCCAGCGCTAATTGTAGTCAACAACATAATGTTGTCGTTACTGCGCATGTGACAAATCTCCAAATTTTCGGAACACTAATTAAATCAAACCAATAATGTGTTTGAATAATTAGACCATATAGGCTTAGTACAAAAAGATTATTTTAATAACTAAGATTATTTTATTTACTAAGCCTATGTGGTCTAATTATTCAAACACAGAATTACTAAAATGCGGCTTTGAGAAAGTTCCGTCATACAAGATTTCAAGAAACCAATAATGGTCACATGACTGTTCTGAGGGTCACATGGCTGTTCTGGCTGCCCCTACTTTTGAGTAGGGGCAGTCAGAACAGTAATGTGACCGTTTTCGGTTCGTTTCAAGTAGTGTTCCGAAAATCCGGAGTACTCGATCCGCACAGTAAATGTAGCAGCCTTCAAGAATCTTGGAGATTTCAGCGTATTTTACCAGGGTCTTCTTCAGCTCGGGAGCCCTAACGTGGAAGACCCTGGGGACGAGGTTGCCGTCAAAATACACATTCTAGTCCATTCTCGTATCCAGAGCCCTTCTTACGCGTGGTCAACGAAGCGCGACGAGGGGCTCTGGCAAAATCGAAACCGGATGCCATAAAAACTTGGTATCCGGTTAAAAACTGCGCATGCTCAATCATTCGAGCATGTAATTGAGCATGCGCAGTGTTTAACCGGTTACCATGTTTTTATGGTATCCTGTTTCGATTTTTCTAGAGCCCCTCGTCGCGCTCCGTTGACCGCGCGTTAGAAGGGCCCTGGGTACTACGAGAATCATTCTAGTCGGAATTTATTATGTCTGGTTTTAGGCACGACTTTCAACCGACTTAATTCGAAATTTAACGACATACACCCCTAACGCGTATGGTTTGAAAGCTTGTGAAAATGCCTATATTTTAGTGGCAATATTATATTCAGGTTAGTAGAAAATTCGCCGAGAAACGTTCGCTATGTTATGCTACGGAAATTCAAAAATATATTAAATTTTCAAAGTCTCGCCTTACTGCGCATGCAAGCACGCGTATTTGAAGTTTTCAATTCCTCGCTTTAGTATTCCGGGTTTTAGAGATTTCGTCTTTTAGTATTCCGGGTTTTAGGGATTCCCCGTTTTAGTATTCCGAGTTTTAGAGATTCCGGCTTTTAGTATTCCGGGTTTTAGAGATTCCGGCTTTTAGTATTCCGGATTTTGAAGATTCCCCATTTTAGTATTCCGGATTTTGGGGATTCCGGCTTTTAGATATTCCGGCTTTTAGTATTTCGGGTTTTAGAGATTCCGACTCTTAGTATTCCGGGTTTTAGAGATTCTACCTCTTAGTATTCCGGGTTTTAGCATTCCCCGTTTTCCGATTCCTTTCCCCCATTCCCCGTTCCTTGATAACAAGTATTAGCCTAAAACATATGGCCAAAGAGACGCTTGGGCTCTGGATGAAAATTTCGAATATTTAAATCATGACAAATGTTGTCAAATTGACAAAGCTTTACAATTACAGCATTTGCAAACTTATCAAATCCAAATAACGTAAAGATTCAGTACAAACAATTGTCAATGAAAATTAATTTTGAGAACAAAATTTCCGATCTTAATTTAGAACGCAAATTTACCTGTTTTTGTTCGTGAGGTCACTTTTTTTTAAAAAAATGTACGAAACGTGTTCATATGTTACCTCCTTGCCAATGTTTTTTCTTCATCATTAATACACGTAACATCATGAAATTATAATTATGTACATGTGGTTCAGAGCTGCTTTGTTGTTTTCCTGTGGATAAAAGTAATCGATGGTTGCAAAAAGTTTTTAAAAGTCCGCCATTTCGTCATCAAGCCAAAATCGCTCGCTCCTATATGCCGTCCCCATGTCGTTCGATTGCAAAGTGACAACTCCTACCATCATGCATAGTCGGCATCGCTTCCTCATTTTGCCAGAGAACTTATTATTAATATTATCAATTGCCAAAATGATTGCTTTGGCCCATCTTATACGATAGTTATAAGTCCAAGTATGTTTAGCCACACTAGCAGATTTATCTAGCTCGCGCCTTTCTCGCAATAGACCTTTCCGGTAATTACGTCACAAGTACACTGTTTTCAACTTAGGACCACCTTAAATGGAATAGATTTTAAGTTTGTTTCTCACGGACTGCGGTCAGAGAAGCTACTAAGTACCTATATTAACTTACTCTTTTTAAAGGGGAACTCCAGTCCCAAAACAAGTTAAGTTTAAATAAAAGATTATACCTTTAATAGATTGTTCCTGAAGTATCTCGGTCCAAATCGTTTTAGTAAAGGAGAAATCGCTCATCAAAGTTCGCGAATTTTGCAAATTTCGACGCCATGTTGTTCTTTTACGTTCAGGCGCGAATTTGGTCAGCGCCCTTATTTGTGACGTCATTGCGTGCTTCTGAAGTGTTGTTGTTCTCGCATTGCTAGTGTTTTACATTTGATTTCATCATGAATATCGATGTTTTAAGTCCATCGAGCGATAGTTCATCGGATTCAAGAACTTCAAGTTCTTCAGGTGAGAGTTTAGATGAGTTTCATAGGAATATTTTACAAGGGGGCGAAGTCCTGGGCTACCAGTTTGAACCTAGACGAAATACCAACAGCGTCAGTGCTGAATTAGCTGACAATGAAGACGACCAAAGTATGTCGATTGACGAGGAAGAATCGTTCGTTCGTTTGGGTAATCTTGACTGGTAAAACATCATAATTTGTGGTTTATATTGACGAATTGAATTTTCGTGTTCTTGAATTATGTCATTCCCAGCATAACTATTTGTTATTGTTAGGTGTTTATGTGAACATTGTCAGATAATGGATAGAGAGGAAGAATGCGTCTGTTGTCATGAAATTGAACAGGTCTCTAATAAAAATCAAGAAGTTATGGAATACACAAAGCCAACCTTGCCATATAATTGCATAACAGATAATCCAGGTTTCCATACTGTCTGTTTAGATAGATGGGTTTTGCAGGCTGCTTGGTTGGACTATAAACAGCAGTATGGAAGTACAGCATATGAAGGTCCTGAGCACAAAATCTCTCGCCATGTCGCATACCGCCAGCTAGTGCGATGGTGTTGGGGAGTAGTTGGGAAAGAAATACGAGTTGTTCTTCCATCTTGTGCTGTTAGTTGCATTCGAGCCCACTTTCCACCTCCAGGTGATGAAGATGACTTTGAGTTTGTTGGGTTTCGCTTTGCTGATGAATAACTTGATTGTTCTGTGTTAAAAAATGTGAGGTATTTGACATATTTATCAACTTTAATACATAAACTCCCAGTTCATATATTCAAAATGTCTGTCACTTCTGTTTATTACTGAGCCGCTTCTCAATGACATCCTGTTTTGGTGGCTTAGGAGTTGGTGCAATACATTTTGTTTGAATTCTTGGCTTGTATTTGAATTTTTTGCCTTTCTTACACAAGATTACATCATTCATCATGCCCTCAACATAGCAGTAGGATTTTGGGGGCTTAATCTCCTTGGCCACCCAGTTCATTCTCTGCTTTCCACAAACACTTTCGAACCTTTTCTTGCCTTGCTTTGATCCTTTCTTCACTTCTGCCTGGGCTCTGTTCACATTGGCATTGTGGTCCAAGACGGCTAGCTGAGTTCGAGCCACCATTCCATTATAACAAAAGTGCTCACGTTTAGGTGCATATTTTGTCATAAGGGAATGGTATGACTCTAACTCACCAGTGTGGTGGAATTCTGTTAGCTTTGCCAGATCTTTCAGCAGCTTTTTGTTTGTGATGACTTCTTCCAAAGCAACATGAGCAGGGAAACCATTTTCAACCCATACAATCTCTTTTTGATCTTTTCTACTTATTCTAGGGTGGCCACATTTTTTTACTAATGTAAATTCCTTGGAGGCCCTCCAACAGTGTTTACCAGTGATGTGATGCAACAAGGACAACCACTTCTCCCTTAGGACATCTGCATTCTGCTCGCATGTTACAGAGCACCACCATAAATGGTTGGAAACACTCTGGATCCATGGCAGTAACTCTTGACAATCTTTCTTTTTTGCCTTCTTTGACAGCTTTTTGGTCACCCACTTCCTAAGATGCCACACATCATACTGGTGAACAATGTTGGGATAGTTTGTCCTCATCTTCGCTGTGATTGTTGTGTGACGATCTGTTGTAAGACATCGGATTGGAATCTTCTTCTTCTTAATTGAATTTAGTGTTCTCTTACAGCCTTCATATTCCATTGCATTAGACGATGTTACCTCTGTCACTTGAACAAGGCTAAATTCAATTATCAAGTTTGTTTTCTCATCCATCAGGGTATATGTGCCATATTTAGCAGAATGCCCAGGACTATCGCACCGCCCGTCACCACATACATCCACACTGTCGCTTTGCTTTAACTTCTTTACCAGTGCATTCTGGCTTGTTATCCAAGTATGTTGCACTACTGGGAAAAGAATGGTAGCCTGGGTAGTATAGTAATGGGAGGAGGAAACAAATTGAAGGTTGAGGTACTTGGCAAAGTCTACAGTGCGTTTATAGGTGTTTCCACTGAATAAAATAGCTGCTGGTATCAAAATGTTTCCTGCTGCAGTTCCTTCTATTAGTGGTTGTGATTGCCAGGATACACTATGTCCATTCAAACAATTTGTAGCAATTGTAACCATACTTCCCTGATTTATTTGAGTTGTAGTATCAATGGGACTACCACAATGTTGACAAATTTCGAATAGTTTATGTAACTGACTTTCAAATACAATAAATTTTTTTTCCACAGCAGGTGCAGTATCAATGGAATATTCATCATCTGTTTCAGAGTCATCATCAGAAGCTGAAGGACAATATGAAGAGAGTCATTATCTGCATCATTTGAAGATCCTTGTTTTTTTAGTTCCACAATAACCCCATTTTGGACATCATCACATTCAACCAATGTCAGTTGTTCTTCAGTCACTGGTGTGCATGGTGTTGTACATGGTTCCACCGTGTCTTTATTGTCATCTGTTGAAGAATTATTATTTGGACCCAAGGAGTAACTGTGATCTTCTAAGTGACATAATTTGTTGATGTCATCAGGGTGTATTTTTGTATTTCCTTGCGTGTGTAAATGTTCAGTTTGGGTTCCAACAGTCTTAAATGTTTTAATAAAAGGTTGAACCTGAACCTCTTTATCTTGTGACATGGTTTCAATATGTCGAGTTGAAGTACAGGTAGTTTGTTCCACATCAGCATTTGAACTTTCTATATTTCGATTTGCATAACAACTATCTGCATCCAGAACAAATATGTCTTGTTCCAATGTTTTTGCAACCTTGATAAAATTAACGAATAAAACAGAATATTTGACTGGTTAATGTTTAGCATGAATATTAATGACCCCTGGCAAAATACAACAATATCCTAAAGTTTCCAAATGCTAAATTGTAACCAGTTCATGGGTAAAAATGTTTAATTAAAATTTCAAATTAAAATAAAACATGTTATTTGGCACATTCATTTTATATAGAGCGAAATAATTTCGTCAATGTTGCAAATCAATGTTGCAAACCTTAAGTTACAATTAATGTAATAGTACTAGATAATGAATTTGTACAAACTTTGTTTTTGAAGTATTCTTCAAATGTATATTAAAATTATATTCTTATATTAACAAGATTTACAACATTGTGTATACATTTTGTTCACAAAGCGCCAGGATTGTTTGTATATTGATTAGTAAATGAAATACCATACAGTATGTGAGACAAGAATCTCCAAACCTTTCTTGTCCGATTTCGTATTTGTTTCACACTTGACAATCTTGTTTTGTTTTCGTTGCCCTTCGTTGGAAAAGCAAACATAGTTGGCACTGCTGATGGCTTCAGCGTTTTACGTTTTTTGAAACCAGGAATTACTTCAGCATTCGGTTCAAAACAATCGGGTGCAAAATGTGCGCTGCAGACATACGTATTCGCACGCTCACGAGGGTTCTCTCGACGTAAATTACGCAACCAAACACTTCTGAGCGGCCCATTTGGCAACCTATGATAACTTATATCTGTTCCTTTGGTCTTTCGACTGCCATTTGTGCACAAAGGCACAGTACAATGCGGCATTTTTTGTTATATAAACTTTTAATTCTGTAAATTTCAGGTTATAGTATAGCGCGCCACTATTATTTTAAATTCCCGCGACACAAGAAGCACGCAATGACGTCACAAATAAGGGCGCTGACCAAATTCGCGCCTGCACGTAAAAGAACAACATGGCGTCGAAATTTGCAAAATTCGCGAACTTTGATGAGCGATTTCTCCTTTACTAAAACGATTTGGACCGAGATACTTCAGGAACAATATATTGAAGGTATAGTCTTTTATTTAAACCCAACTTGTTTTGGGACTGGAGTTCCCCTTTAACAGTAAAATTCGAATAATTCAGTAAAATTCTTTGACCACCCCTCCTCCCCCCCTCCCCTCCAAATTCTCCACAGTATTCCTATATTTTTTAATGAACCCTGACTACATTTTTTCAGATTTTTACAGACTTAGTATTATTCACTGTTCATCAACAAAACTGAATTGATTGTGAAATAAATAATGGAAATGAATAATGAAATAGTTCCCGCCAATCTCGGCTTCCTAAACTCGGGTTAATAGTGCTTGGTCTATTGTTCTGTAGGCGAAATTTCGCAAGTGGTCCACGAGAGTGGTCCACGGGAGTGGTCCGTGGTCCACGAGTGTAGTCCATGCACGGACCAGGTCCACGAAGGTAGTCCATGGACCTGGGGTCCGCGTTTTGTCGTTTCCCATCTTTAATGTGAATCAAATTGGACAAGGCGCGGTATTGATGCGCCGTTAAACTTTTAATTCAGGAAATTTATCAATCTATCTATTAATGCAGTCTATAAAACTGCTTCTTTCAACTTTTGTTCGTTTATTCAATAATATAGACATTTCAAAATTCAAATATTTCAATTCAATCAAAACGCGAAACGCCTGCGAACAGGCTATGATGTTTACAATATCCAAACAGAACACGTAGTCTATCGAACCTATAGTCAGCAGCCAATCAACTCTTTGCTTCCATATTTTTGAAAGTTATGTGTGGAATGTGAACCCAAAAACTACGCCAATTTCACCAGAGGGTTATTCAAAACAGGCGAAAATAAATACCCTCT